CAATAGTGATCGACACCTATTAGCCTAGTCAAATTAGCACAAAAAAGGGTCTAGCTTTGAAAAGGTCGAGTAATTCAATTTTTCTTTCTTATATTGTAAGGTATGTAGTGAATATAAAAAATCCAAGTTTCCGCTCTTGAAAGCCTTGTGGGTTCAAAAACAATGAAATTTCGAACTTTTTTGGTTTAGGCTAAATATCTGCTTTTTAAGCGACTTAAATAAAAAATGGCTATAATCAATTTTACGAAGAATAGTTGACGCACCATTTTATGTCGCAAACAATAGATTACATAAAGACTTGAACATCCCAACAATTTCAGACTCAGCAAAAAAAAACTACAGCAACTTTCACCAAAGACTAACTTACAACTCAAATCCTCTAACAGAAAACCTTAAAAGCACTAGAAACCCGTACAGCCCACCTCGACGATTACTTAGGCGGTGGCCAAGAGACCTGCTTAACTGAACTATTTCCTGCATTGTAATTGAACGCTATGAAGCTGCCAAAAAATTTGCTCATTGCAAAGAAATTTGCAGATCGCAAATTTAATTTTCTTATATCCAATTTTATTTTGTGTATTAATAATAATTAATATTCAATCATAAGCAGCTTGTAACAATAAGAATTGAACTAACGAACTTTCAAAATGGGTAAAGTTTTGAAAAAAATATTTATAATATTTTGCTTTTAATTAATTATCTGTTTTTATAGGTGACATAGCTCAAATTTTCAAATGAAATATTAAAGCGCAAACATTTTTTCTATAGCTTTTATAGGAAACATATTTCTCTAGACGTACATACATGCATAGATGGCGCTACATCCCGTCACCGAGACTCGGCCTAATTCAAAATCCCTCGCCAGTCAATACGATCAGCTGCAGCAGCTCTCCAGTTTCGGGCTCCCAGTAGAGCCCGTGCGTCCGATGTCACTGAATCCTCCCATCTTACGTTCGGTCTGCCAACCTTTCTTTGACCATGCATCTTTCCGGACAGCATCTTCCTGGGTATCGCCGAATCATCCATACGTGCGACGTGCCCGGCTCATCGAAGTCTACCCATCTTGATAAACTTGACAAAGTCTATATCCTTAAAAGGATAGCAAGTTCGGCATTTCTCATTCTTCTCCAAATTCCACCCTCTCTGACAGGACCAAAAATCCTTTTTAGAGAGATTTATCTCTCAAAGATCAAAATTCTATTTTCATCATGCATCTTAAAGGTCCATGCTTATGATCCATAAGTTAACATAGGGCGGATCAAGGTTTTGTAGAGAGTGATCTTGGTCCTATTAGAGGGGAACCTGCTTCTAAAATGCTTCGCAAGGCCAAAGTAGGACCGTTTCGCCGTTGCTATAATCCTAATGACTTCTCGAGAGATGTCGTTTTCGGAATTGACCTCAGATCCGAGGTAGACAAAGCTGCTTTCCTTTTCGAAATTCTCTAAATTTAACAACTTAAATAAAAATCGCTAAAAAGAAATTAATATTTTAAAATTCGAAAAAACCTTATTATTTTATTTTTACTGTTTCAACTTATTTTAATGAAATTGATTACCAACAATCACCGTTTTTCTAGTTACATTTAAATGAACTTTATCGTATCATATTTTTTAATAATTAATGATATCCAAATTACCATCTCATGACCGTTTGATTTCTGCACAAAAAAATTTTTGGACAATCAAATTATTGTAATAATATTTGTTCGTTAATAAAATCAAAATAATGTAGTAAAAGTGTAATTATATTATAACATTATATAATATATTATAACACATATATTATAACATTATATAATATATTATAAAGTAATTATATTATAACACTATAATAATGCTATTTATGAGTATTGAATGATGTGGCAGAGGACTCTAGGCGCCTATGCCATTGCTGCTTTAACATCAATTAAGTCTATTTTCTATGTAATCACTTCAAATATTTTTAAAAATAATCAGTGTTTTAGAAATATGAATGTATTTTCCAAATGAGTTATTTCGGCGCGTTTTTCGTTATTTTTGGCTGTTATTTACAAACGACGCTTGATTTTCAACTTTAGTTTGAACGAATTGAAAAAAATAACTTTACTTGTTTTGTTTATTTTGCCAATACCAATTATTTTTTATTTTTGTTTGTTCTCTGACTGTCCAGAATAATTATAAGAAACCCATTATGACGAAATTAAGATAAATTTAAGCTAAATTTCAGTGGCCGAAAAACTAACTCAAGTTGAAGATGTCAATCTTCCATGTTTGAAAGCCATTTTAGGACAGTGCGGCAACCTTTTTTTTAAAAAATATAGGTTTTTTTTATATTAAATAGTTAAAAGGAACACAACTGTATGCAATCTATTAGGATGTGAGGGAAGGGTGCACGGTAGAGGGGTCTGACCCACCGTGTAACATACTTTTAAAAAACACCTCCCAATTAACTACAGTCTACGGTTCCAATCAATAGTTCATTATCTTCAAAACCTCCGAATTCTCTGAACGAGCTTCAAAATGGAGTTACTGAATTCTTCCGTTCAAAACTGAAAGAGCACTATTTTTTTAAGAAATTAAAATGGATAAATTTTGAAAGCTCGATAGTTTTCTTCCTGTTGGGTTTAGAAAAAAAAAGTTATGTATAACATTATTAGATCATTTTAAACTGTTTAAGATTGAACATAACCATTTTTTATCTATAGCCCTCTAAAAATGAGATATTTAGTGTAAACAAAAAAAGTTTGAAATTTCAATGGTTTTTGGAGGACTGCAGCGAACTCACTTGGCTTCAAGGGCAGAAACTTGGATTTTTTTATATTCACTACATATCTAACATTATAAAAAAGAAATTCGAATTACCCGGCCTTATACAACTGAACATATCTAATTTGACTGGGCTATATGGCATAGAAGAAAAGGATAGGATAAGCATGTTGTTAAGTTCTGTGGTTGAGCAAGAATGCTAAATTTTCTGATTTTAGTCATGATTATGAACACTTCATCATTAAAACTTTGTTAAGGTAAAAGACAGAATTGGAACTTTTAGTTTCAGTTTATAAAAGCGGAAAAAGCACTAAGTTTCTTATATGTTTTCCTCAATTACTAAACTTTTATTAATGTTTTAATTATTTCAAGTTAGAAGAGAGTGGAGGGGAGGGAGGGAAGGAACGCCCAATGCTATGCTTATTATTAAAAGTTTTATAGAAGCTGCTAACAATTAGATATGGCCTGTCAAATGAGAATGAGATCCTTCCTTTCTTAAGTGTTCTAAAAAGAAGAATCATCTAAAAAAATATCTGTATCTACTGAACAGATCGGATTTCATAAGTGCTTCCCAGTTACAGATCATCTTCATTCAATAAACCCATTGATAGAAATAGTGCATGTACTGCAAGTCTTGTGTCCTTATGTCTTATTTATTCTAAAATTCCATATCGACAGCCACGTAGCAAAAGTGAAATAACCAAAATTACAAGATAAAATAATCCGCATAATATTTATTTTACAAATGGGATTTTTTCTAATTCGAGCAGCCACAGCTCTCACTGCATTTGCCATTCTCAGAGTGTGGAGACATTCGAGGTCTGTCCCATACAGATAGGGTCTCATGATATCTATTTACAGTGCGACACTCGAACATATAGCTGATACTCAAAGGTTTCAAAGTGTTGAAAATCTCTGATCTACATTTTCCAACTTTGTGTATGGCGATCACAGCTATTCGATTTTCTTTATCACTCCACTCCATGTTAACTGAGTGAAAGAAAAATACAAACTAAAATAACAAAGAAAAATACATCCTTTGGACAAAGATATGATGTTTTAATTTAAATTTCTGAATATCTGATCAACATTGAATATAAATGCTCAAAATCACACTTTCTATTAAAATCGTGAGAATATGCTTTTGCTTATCCTGCACTTAGGCGTGGTAGTTTATTTCATACAATAAAACACAGCTCTATGAAAAATTGATGGAAGGACATGTACATGAGCACAATTCACTATTGTCAAGGTGGAACTACTTTAGAATAAATTCGTCTTTATCACTCTAAAAAGCTATAGTATCGTTCCCAGTTTGTTAAAAGAGATTGGAGGCAGGATCATAGTTTGTGACTTCTTTTATTTGGGGACTGGGTGGTCGAATGGACTAACGCGTTTTGTATAACATGCGTTGACCGGAAATCCGATACCCCGAAGATTACGAGTTCAATTACCTGTACCGCACACTTGAGCGAGCTGACGGCGCTGTTGGACAATGGGAAATAAACCAAAGTTAAAATTTGGAAGTTTGACTTCACTCACTAGCGGATCCAGGATTATATTTTGGGGAGACTTCAGCTCGAAAACTTTTTGTTCATATATATAACGATAATTTTTTTTTTTATTAAATGAAAGAAATGAACTACCTATATGAAATAGTGTTTAAGTGATTTTGAAGTTGTATTAAATGCAATTTCACGAACAATAACACTTTAAGAGATGGTTTTTAATATTTTTTTCTATAAAACATAGTTATATCATACTATTTTTGGGAGGAGGGCTTTAGCCAGAAATTTATACAGAAAATTTTAAATGAGTTATCGCGTTAATGATGCCCTGATGTGAAATAATACGAGAAGAAATTAAAACCTAACGGTATGTACTGGGCAGAATTAGGTACTTATAGTGAAGTCTTAGACAGCTGAAACATCGGTTTTCAAAAATATGCATAGTTTTTACGACGTTTCAAACAATTGTTAGCAATTTTGCTCCATTTTTCAAATCACCCGAAAAAGTACGCAGTTGTTAACAAAGGATTGAATTTCCAGAAACAGATTTCAAATCTAGCCTTGAACAAGCTACTCTCGTAATTATTGAGGGTTTAACACGTGGGAACTTAGAATTTAGAGTGACTGAAGTTATTAGAATATGTCGTTACTTGAAGAAATTGCTCAATCAATTGATAATTATCTTTTTAAAAAAATAATGATTTTATTTTTATACGTATAAAATATCCGTATTTTTTGTTTCTTATAGTCACAGAGACCTGAAGCCCGAAAACCTCCTCTTGGATGAAAAAAATAATATAAAAATTGCAGACTTCGGAATGGCGTCGTTACAGCCAGGAGGAAGTATGCTGGAAACGAGTTGCGGTTCGCCTCACTACGCATGTCCGGAAGTCATAAGGGTTGGTACTGAATATGTACATTTTTTATCATTTATTATATTATTATTATTATATTACATCTTATGTTTATCTTTCATCATAGTCGATTGAGTGAAAATAGTTTTAGAAAAAATATAAAATGGGTTTTAAAAAAGCCTTGCCAATTCGCCAGTAATTAGTCATTCTTGTTGTTTGTCTCTTTTTTGTCACATTCAAAACTTATCTTATTGTTATTTGTTGCCATGTTTTTCTAACATAATATAAATTCTATATCCCAGTTAATCAACCTAGTTCCGAAGAATCATACTTAAATCTATTTGTAAATGTAATTACCATTTTTATTTTTTTAAGGGAGAAAAATATGACGGGCGAAGGGCAGATGTCTGGTCATGCGGCGTCATCCTTTATGCCCTCCTAGTTGGCGCCTTGCCTTTTGATGATGACAACCTAAGGCAACTTTTAGAGAAGGTCAAGAGAGGGGTGTTTCACATCCCGCATTTTGTTCCGCCCGACTGTCAGAACCTCCTCAGGGGTATGATAGAAGTCAACCCAGAGAAACGACTAACGGTATGAACTAAATTGTTATGTTTACACACACATATATATATATATATATATATATATATATATATATATATATATATATATATATATATATATATATATATATATGTATGTAAATGTTATTAACATATGCTAGAATAAAATTTATTGATCTTGGTTCTGAAAAAATGATCTTCTTTCATAATCAAGCTAGAAACAGTACCCTTTCTTACCTAGTATACTGAACCTAATATCTTTCATTGATTCTAGTTTGATTTCTCAAACAGGATTTTTATTCCAAACTATTACAAATGAGATATTAGCATCCTGTTATAAGTAATCCAAAAAATGATTTTTTATATTTTTTATTACAGTTATCAGACATCAACAGGCACCCTTGGGTGACAGCGGGCGGTAAAGGGGAACTGGAACTTGAACTACCAATGATGGAAGTCGTCCAGACACACATCATACCCTCAGTTGCTGATATGGATACTGATGTACTTCAGGCAATAACCTCCTTAGGCTGTTTTAAAGAACGGGACAGACTCATACAAGAGCTCCTCAACCCTAAGTATGTTCATAGCATTTCTTTCTTTCTTTAAATCTTGTTAACAAAGCTTAGTAATAATAAACAAAACTTAGTTAATGATATGTTACAGTTGTGGTAATGTTGAAAACATGTAGTTCATATTAAGTCTGGACATATATAAACTTATTATCATTCTGCTATTTGGATGAAGGAGCCCTCCAAGAGGTTCCAGCTCTTTTATTCCTCTGGATTTTCCTTACCAATGATTTTTTTTTCTACTTACGTTAATGACACATAGACTTATTCCATTGCCTGGTTATCATATACATGTCATCAGGGGTGCCCAGAAGGGGGTTTCCTGGCGCAAGGTGCACCATAAAAAGTTTTTAGAGGTGCATATTTTGACTGGGTTTTGAATTTTTGATGGGGCACATTTCAACGAGGCTATGAATTTTCGGAGTGAAAAGTTTCAAAAAGAGAACTAGGAAAAAAACCACCACAAGTGTAATTATATATTATCTATGATTTGTCTAACCCTACTTTCGCTTGTACTGTTTTTAAGAAGAGGAGACTAACACAACGTTTGGAGAGAGGGGTATAGGTCTTGAGCCATTGACCTTGGGAGGATGGGCACCCTTGCACATCATTTACCTACAAATTTACTTATCCTTCCACCCTTCTAACCTGCTGGATACATCTTTCTAAGCTTCAGGACAATAATGAAAGCATTACTGCAGAACAGCTGACCACGTCCATGCCATTCTTATTGCTGATTCCCTAATCTTAAGTAAATCCTATTTACTTTCACAACTTTATTTAAAATATAGAAGTCAGTCACCTTTGGTCAACACATGTACATTGGTATATTATTTGTATATTATTGGTAATTTATTTTTCTATAAACCAAAAACGCATTTGAATTCTTTACAAGATCCTGAAATTTAATGATTAATTTCACCTAAGTGTCCATTAGCTTCTTGTATTCTCCCTTATGTTCTCCCACTTTTACTACAGATGTTTAATATATGGAGATAGAAAATGAAGCAATATACCACATAATTTATTAGTGTGATGCTTTAATATTGAGAACCTGAATTTCCTAGTTAAGGAAAGCTATTAGACTGTCTTAATACAGTATATTGGGCTTTAAAATAAAATAGGCCCTTATTCATTGCAGTGCTCCAGAAAAGAAAAGAAAAATCATAATGTTAAATCGTTGACAATTTATTTTTAATAGTTGCAGAGTCTCAAAATTCAAATAAATTCAGTGATCTTAAAAATAAGAAAAATTGGTCTTTCTATATATGTTACGGACAAATTGCTTTACAAAAAACCTGATATCAACCATAAGAAAAAATCTCAGCAAAGTGATTTATTGCTTAATCACTTTATCCTAAGCTTAAATACGAGTTCTTCTGAGGATGTCATGGCTTTTTAAAGTGATTTACTTATTTCATGGTGTCAAATTTTGCTTAATCCTTACTCGCACCACTTAGGTCTCCCATGATTACAGTTTGAGGTTCCATCAAGGTGTTGTTCTCTGCTCTTTCTGTTAATAGAATTGATTTTTCTGAAACGCATATGTCTCGGAGACTTAAGGGGTTCCTTAAAAGTAATTTTAATGGAACCAATTTACTAATGTTCTACTATTATTTGTTAGTCTCAATAAGCTAATAATTGGAGTATTGTTACTTTTAATAAGTAATAAATATCCTACACTGATTTTGCTGTTCATTCAAATTCATGTTTCATTCATAAGATAATTCTTTATAAGGAACCATCTTTGTTGTATTTCTATTTTTTCAAGAAATATTTTTTAACTATTAATTGTAATGAAATGAAAATGAAGTTAAATATAGAACTTAATATAAAAAATATTAATTTATATATTTTTTGTAACATATAGTTGCTAACGCCACTTTTACTTGATTTGTTTTGAAATACACCTCAGTAACAGGTAAAACAATAGGTACCTCTCAGAATTAAAGAATATTTCATAAATTCATTTTTCATATAACAAAATAGTTAGAAAAAATAGCTTTTATCCCTCAATTTTTGTTGCTTACATTACCATAATCTCAACTGGTTCTGTTTTTTTGTTTTTTTTATTCCAGCCATAATACTGAAAAAGTAATTTATTTCCTCCTTCTTGAGAGAAAAAGGAGAAGACCAGCATTGGAGGATGAAGCTGAGCAGGTAGTAGCGAGGGTGCGAGCTGAATCATCAGATCCACCAAGGAAAAGAGTAGATACTTGCCTCAATGGTGCTAAATCCCTCCAGTACGCCCAGATATCAGAAGGCTCGCCAATAACACCAAGGCGGCAACAAGGGTTTGTTTTATTTTTCCAAGTATAGTTTATAACCAAATATTGTAATGCCAAAATAAACGTTCCGAACTTTATAAAAATAATTTTAAATTCAATTTCTTGTTATACAGCATACATTGTAAAAAAAATTATTAATTTAAAGATACATGCAAACTACTAATTAGAGAAGAGTTAGAGTTTTGCTGTACCATCCTGGTTCCATATTTAATATTTTCCCTTATAAATCCTATTAAGACTTCTTTTCATATTATAGTGGTTGCAGTCTTTTACTACTAAATATGAAGGGTCTACTGTGATTTCCAGTGTTGCTTGAGTTTTTAACCAAATAAATTAGTTCTTAAATGGAGATTGATATTATTAATCATCAGCTTGGTGCCACTTCTATTATTGAGCCTTTTTCATTCTTTATCATTTCTCAAAGATGGCAGTAAATTGAAAATATCACTGCTGTACTACCAATAAAAATCCTAATAAAGTTAAATGTATACTTTATTTTTTTAATTTAATTTTTCTTAAGTTTGCTTAAGATTATTTTAGTTTATTTATTTGACTCAATCCTATTTTAACTATGTATTAGCATATTTTCGATAATCTAAGAAATACTGTCAGAGATATTAAATCTTATACTCTTTTTTTTTTTACAGGCACCAAAACAGGCGAGGAAGTAACTCATCAAGTAACTCCAACTCATCAATTTCACTCCAACCCCCATCTCCTACTGGAATGCAAATACCTCAAAGGTAAGAACAATTTTATATTTTATGAATATGTATGTTTATAGAGTAATATTAAGTTTTGATTTAGGTATAAAAAAATGTTCATTGATTGGTACAACTAAAGGTTACAAATGACCAGTGTCAGTCTATCTTTGGCTATTAACTATATATTATATTTCTATATTTATGGTCACTTAGAATAACTTATCAAGTAAAAATTGGTCCTCTTGAGTAATGTGCATTATCATCAACCCAGAAGTTTTCTGAATACTGCAAAAAAAAGTTTGCAAATAACAGCTTTAAATATTTTTGAGATTTGCATTAGAACTTTGGAGTTGCCTTTTTCTTTAAATTGTGCAACTGATTTGTAAGAGGACTATGAAACACATAAGTTTACCATAATATACATATATAGGTATGATATGAATAAAAAACCTTTATTGTGGTACAAAGTTCCTTAAGAATAACAATAGTGAACAGACAAATTAACATTATTTCTGGCCATAAGGCTTTTTTTTATTATTACTGCTGTGGTTATTGTTGACCTGAATATCATTCAAGATATTCTTCCATCATTCTTTATCTAAGGCTTGTTCTCCATGCCCCGCCAGGCTTTCTTCCACTGTGTCTTTCTATTTTACCTTTGGTGTTCACTTTTTCCTTCTCCCTTCCATTTCCATTTCCATACATAACTTTGGTAATCTTTCAGGTACCATTCCTTAAACATGCCCAAATCAGCATAACCTCTTCTTTTCAATGTTAGTTGTAATGTTTCTTTTCATCTCTATCATTTCAAGAATTCTTTCATTTTCTATTCTTTCCCTTCTGGATTTTCTTTCTGTCCTGCCAAAGTCTATTTCTACTTATAACAGTCTTTTCTGGTGTCACGTTGATGACTTATGTCTCCAAGACATATGTCGATATTGGTTCAAATATAGCCTTGTATATTAGCCTCTTTATACTTAACCTACCTAGCATAAGACCTATTACTGTAAATAAATAAATAATAATAAAAAAACAAAAAATATATATACATATTATCAGTTGTTAAAGCATAAGTTTATTTGAGATTAAACATCTAAAACACTGTTTAAAATAATTATACATAACTGGTAAAAATCTTTTGATGGAAGCATTATTTCTCTTATCTCCATATTCGACAAAAATTAAATGAAGATTAAAAAAAGAAGATTTTGGTTTGCTCAAAATTTTTAATGAACAGGCAAACTAAGGTGAATAGTTCTGAGACCCATTTAGCACCTTGGAGAATATAGAGACAAAAATTTAGTTGTTTTTTCAATGAAAACAAACATGTTAACATTGCCATGGTGTGATAAAGCTTTTATCCAGGCTTTCCTTCATTATTCTTCTCTTAATAAGGGAAAGAACTACATAACAAATCTCTTGTACCAATCCGATAGGTGTCAGCAATTACAACACTAAGTTAGTATAAATTTACAGGTAGAGTATTATTGCTTAAGGGAAAAGATACTTTTCTATTGAGTAAGGTAATGACTTACAAATTAAACTTTAACATAATCATTGCAAAGCATTGAGCGACACCAATTATGTGGGATGAAGATAAATTTATATTCTTTATACAAATAAAAATGTTTCCCTAATTTTATGTATAATCCAAAAATATTAGGAAGAAAAAGAATAAATATCTAATGCGAGATTTTTTCCTCATGTACACTAGTTTATAGATAATAAGATATTTCTCTTATTTGTTTTTATTAATTTAGGGCATCTTCAAGCAGCCATCAGACAAACCATGCAGGATCGCCACTACACAGCCCTAGGCCTGTCAGTGTTGCCGCTCCTCCCGTCCTTCAAACTGTCAATAGTACAGTTATTCCACCACCTTCGCCTATTCACCTGAGACCACCGCAGGCGCAAGAACCCATAGAGCCTCCTACAATAAGCATTGCTGGTCAGTTCTCAACTTCGGAACAGATTGTTCCTTAGTATTTTTTTTACTTAGATGTATTCAACCCTTAAAGGGTTTATAAAAAATGATTTTTACTGGATTAGCTATAACTTTAACATATCTTTGTTGTTCATTAGATATATTTGTATTTCAGGTTTATGCGAAAAGCTAATTAAAAAACTCAGTGAACTTCAATGAAAAATTAAATTATATAACTATCACAATTCTACCTGACTATGTAAGATGTTATGGCATTATATTGTTTTTTAAGCTTGTGTATGCCACTAACAACATATAATTAAGTTGTCTGAGAAAAATAGTACTATAAACGATGTTTATATATTGAAAACTTTAATTGTACTAATATATTGAGTTCAGAAATAGTGCAAGCAAATATTTTCTGGAGGAAATGAGACAAACTACCTGCTGATATAATGAACCAAGCCTTATTTTATATAGTTTTCTTCCCCATCCTGCCTTTTTTGGAACTAACCCACATAAGAATTTAAAATTCTGATTAAAAAAAAAAATCAGATATAAAATTATATATATGAATTATCCCATTTTGATTGTTCCTTTCTTATGAAAAGCATTATGGTACTTTTAAAAAAATGAACAGTTTACTTATAACTTGATTATTATTTTGTTCTATTTTGAACTGTCTAGAAGTCAAAATGGCTAAATATGTTAAATTGGGGATCCCAGACCTCCTAGTTGGATACAGTTTGGGTTTGATTCCTATATTATATTTAATTCCCATCAGTCTTGAAAAAAGAATATTGATAGCCCCACTCTGGTCATTATGGTGTAGCCACCAACAGTGGTTGGCCAAAAGGACTCAAAGCCTCCATTTGCTGGACTAGTTCACCCTATCAAAAAATTCCAATTGTTAACAATCTACTTTTTCCTTTGTAAACAGAAATTGTAGGGTACATATAAATATATTTATATATAAAATATATATTTATTTTAAATAAATCTGTGTACAATGCTAGTAACTTTGCAGTTTAAAATGACAAAGATTGGCAGGGAGGAGGACCACTTCAGCCAAAAAAAACCATTGCATGAGTAGCATTCTTAAACGAGTATTAAAATTAAAGATGACTTGTTGGCTAAATCTTATCATTGTCTCTATGAATTAATAATGCTTGAGTTATCATAATTCATTTTCTAAAGTGAATTAATATACTTATAATTAATTAACATAACTAATACTTATGTTGTCTGACTTGATGAAGAGAATAATACTATTAATTTCAAATATGTTATATATATACAGATATATCATTCCTAACTAACTATGTTTTGTACTTAATTTTAATGTGTATTCAATTTGTTTTTCAATCATAATGAAAAGTTTACAATTCCAGTTTATTTAATCTTTAGAATTCTAATTAACTTTGACCTATAAATTACTAAATTCCAAATTATTTTAGTGAAAGCTTTTTAAATGTTCAATCGATTTCCTATCATCATTATTTTTATTTATATAGACTTAATTTTAACCTTCTTAAACTGCTGAATTGTTAAATATCATGTGAATCAGAATATATATTTAAGAAACTTTAGCTTAGTAGTGGATTAAGCATTAAGTGAAAAATTTCTCAACTTAAGTATATTGAAAATGACCGAAAAGCTTCACAAAATTCTCCATACAATAATTGAATAAATCTATAATTCCAATGTATCGATTTATGCCCTCTTAGGTTGAAACATTTGTGTTTTAGAAGAGCCTAAAATTTTTACAAGATACACAGTTGTCTTGATTCACCACTGTTTTACCTGAAATTGTATCTAAATAAGAAATAGGTTGCACTTGCGAAAAAAATTCCCTTTTCAAAGTAGCTGAAGTTTTCTTCCAATACCTTGACAGTTTGGAGCCTTTTGAATTTAGGCAAACCTGTGGTTCTAGAACCTTTTATGCTGAATGCCAGAAGCCATTTTGAACCACATGTTCCTTGAACGTGTTAATATCAATAATATATTAACCAAAATAATAAGATTTGTAACTATAATGTAGCTCTTGTAACTTTACAGGTACACATGTTCTTGTTCCCCCGGGATCACCTCACACTTCAAATCATTGGAGGACAAGGTTAACAACTATCAAAAACAGCTTTCTAGGGTCTCCTCGATTCCATCGAAGAAAGCTACAAGGTAATAACTTACTTTTTCCTGTGTTTTAATTAAATTAATTAATAACTTTAATATTTACTTTGAATGTATGTTTAATTTCACACAATCACACTTAATTTTCTATTTACTCATAAATAATAATAAAAAAACATATATCCAACTTAACTCTGAATAAAATTTTAATATTAATAATTTACCAAGTAAAATTCCAACAGTATTACCATATTTTACTTTATTGACCTACCTTTTTACTAAATACTATCACAAATACTATCAGTATAAATTGTAAATATACTAAAAATATATCATTAATTGTAATTATTTACTATACAGTAACAATATATAGTACAGTATAGATCCCTTTTCTGTCTCTGAAAAGATGAATTTTGATAAACAAGTAATTTAAAAATACATAATAATATTGCTTGGGACATTTTCATTCCTTATATGTGCGATAGTTAGGAATAATGTAAGCTGTAAAGTATTTGAACTATGACAGACAAACTGTTGTAGTATGCATTATCTTGGTAGTTAATCAAGCTTACATTCTGATATAGTATATTTTAATAATTTCTAATAAAAAAAAATTAAGAAAATTACCATTTATTATCTTCTTCTAATTTATTTATGATAATTAAATTTGTTGACATTTTCAGTGTTTAAATATAATAATTACCAATCTTTATAAATTGGAGTTGCAATGTTCTAGCATCCTCCGAAGAAGTTGGACTCACCCCTGAGTCATCACCTGAACTTACTAAGAAATCGTGGTTTGGAAGCCTCATGACGTCCGAAAAGGATGAGACACTGACAGTATTGGTGAAAGGAAAACCGCTAGCATCCGTGAAGGCAGACCTAATACACGCCTTTCTTTCGGTATGGTATCATTTGCATTCCCTTCAATATTAACACCAATTGACAAGGTATCGTCAAAACACAGTGTTGATCACCTAGTTGCTTATTTCACTTTTTATTCGTATTCAGTAAGAGTTATATTCACGATCCATATACTGTAATTTCAAGCTTTTGTTTGTTTTTTTTCTTTTATGAAATTCTTCTCAAGTTAAAAGAAGAGTTATTGTTTGTTGATAACGATTTTTTTAATATAATTTAAATAATTGTAATGAAGAGAAGAATAGTTGGGGTGATCAGTCTAATAAGAAGGCAAAAATAAATATTATCATTTATTTTTGCCTTCTTATTTGACTGATCACCCCAACTATTCTTCTCTTTATTATTCACGACAGTCAACCATTTACCCACAATTTTAAATAATTGTATATTAATTTTTTTAAACATTTTTATTTCAATTTTTTGTTAATTAAAACTGGTTCCTTTTTAAAATATTTATTAAAAAATAAATTTAAACTAAAATTGCAAACAACGGTAAAATTACGTTTTATTGGAAAACAAATTACATTTAAGGTTTTATATTTATTTTTTTATCAATTTAAAAAAAGTATTTATATCAAGTTTTTCAAATCCTATTAATTCAATATTCTGTTGAAAATTGTATTAAAAGTTTTAATTCATTCAAGTATACCTATTTTAATAACTATATACTTTTTTGTTAGTTTTGCAGGCTATGAAGCAATTGGTTTACTATGTATAAAATTATTATAGTTAATTGTATGTAACATAAATTATGTTTTTATCTTAACCTTATAAACATAATCATAGCATGTGATTCATCAATCCTTCCTCTCATCTCTCACAATTTCTTAATTTCCTAGGTATAGACATAGTTTATGCTGTTTTTTCCATTTATTTTGAATCAGTAGTAGATTATTCATGTATTGTCTTTCTCAAATGATAGATCTTCCTTTTTTATATTTTATTATGGATAACCTCTCTCAGCTTATGGTTTAATGTTTTCCAGAAGATATAGCTATATATAAATATATTTCTTATGGTAGAGATTGGGATCCACCTTTTCATATAGACCATGGGTTCAATGACAAAGCCTTGAGTCTGAAATTAACGCAGTACATTAAAAATCTGTAGCCATTTCACCCATTCAGGCATCATCAGAACAAAAAACAAACAACACCCAGATCAGTTAGAAAAAAATCATTTTAGAGACTCCATCCATTGTTTTGTAAATCGTTCAGTTATTAATTAATAGTTAATTTCTTCCTATTTTTCACTTTTGTAGAAAAATGGAATCTAAATAAATTGGCATTCATTTACGTTATGTTATGTTATAGCTAATATCCACATTTTTGTGAAGTAAAAAAATGAATAAAATACAGTATAAAACATCTTGTGTAAACTCCAAAAGTGTAGAATAATGTACATTAGACCTTAAAATGCAAAAATCATCATATTGTTTTATATCAAATATTAAAACCTGAAAATTTTATCTATCCTCCTTGTGTTAGAGTTTCACCCTTTAAATTAAAGTAAGATATAGTGTGCCGTAATATAAGAAAAACCCCTCTTCTAATACACCTATGAATTACGATTAATCTAAATCTAGATGAAAGAAAAACAGAAAATAAAGGTAATAATATATTTAATAACAAAACCTGCATTTTGGAAAAATCAAAGCTCATTAATCACAGTCAAAATCTTATGTAAATATGACACAAATACAGAACTGTAATTTTTATGGGGTTCCAAGATTACAATATAAACAAAAAATAACGTAGTCAAAGTAATTTAAGATATTTCTGTTAAGTCCATGATTTTTTTAATTTATTAATTTTATCTTTTATATAATATTGTAATATTCATGCAAATATTAAAAAATTATGTTTAAGTAATACATGTTTTAGCATTTCTATTTTTACTTTAGGTGAAAAAACAAAATTTTCCATGTAAAAACTGCTTTTCTTTTTATTGAACTTGACATAATAAATCACAAACAAAGAACAGACATGTGCGTTTCACTCAAAATGATTGTGATGAATTACAATTAGAATCATAATAATATTTAAATAAAAATATTCTCACCATGCCTAAAATTCCAATTTCCCTAACAGTCTGCCTATGGACAAGCTTAAGGTTACCTACTTGTATCCCAATATCACAGATTGGGCAGAGGGTTCAATAGAAGTTTGTAACGACTATCTGCCCTGTTTCACTGATGGGTCGAGGAAATACTCAACCGGCTTAACGGGTGCTGGAGTCTATAAAGAGAACTTAAATATAGAATAAAGCATACCATTAGTTAAACAATGTATTTAGAGGATTCTTACCACAGAATCCTTGGCTCTTGTCTCTAATTTAAGTTTGTCTATTTAATTAGGTATTAAAAACTTGTATATATCCATTTAACACTCATTATCCGGAGGTAAACTGGTCTCCCGTTTGGATCTCCATGTGGGGACTGCTTTACGGGATTCATGGCGCAAGTTGAAAAGTAGGGATTTGAATATTGGTATGTGGAACGTAAGGAGTTTAAGGGGGGTTTAAATCGGTCACAAATGAGATTAATGGGTACAATTTGGATGCCGTGGCTTTGCAAGATGTTCGCTAGCCAGAGAATGGCTCGCTCGATGAGGGGAAACATTGGAAACACTACTTAAATCCTCTGGAGGTTGAGATATATTCTAGACCTCTCCTTCTCAAAACAAATCCTGAGAGATTTTGAAAATAAAATCCTTCTTATTGTATGTCATTATTATGAACAGATTGGACCATTTAATACCAGAAATTGCCTATCAATAATTTAGTAGAAATTTATTTTTTTTAACTATTTACTTTAAAGTAAATTCTTTATCTAAAGAACTGTGTATGTTATCTTGTTCTCAATTAATATTTTATTATCTCATATGAAGATTATATTAATTCATTCCATGTTCAAATCTTTACTCAAGCTTGGCATGCTGCTTTGTAGACAGTCAGTATTTTATCTCCATTCTCAAAACTGATGTAAATAATTTTAACATTTTTAATTTTTTTATTTGATGCTTGACTCTGTTTTTTATCTTCTGCCATTCTCTACCTGTTTCTGTGAAATCATAAATTTGTATTATTAGGTTATAAATAGCTTTTTGAAAACTATAATCTGTTGCATTAGTGCATTTTTTTTTTCAAGCTGGGAAATACCCATCTTTGCCTGTTTAACATAAAGTAAATATAAGACCAAAATAAAATTCACCTCTAGTAATTAAAATATTATTTTTTTTAAAATATACTAAAAATCAGAAATAATACTTCTGATCATTGTTCTCTGATCCCAGACCTACAACATACCAAAATAAGGCTATTCAATATTTTATTTCAACTAAAATGTGATTGTTATATGTTTGGTCTCTGTTCACAAAGACTACTTTGAAGGTTGGTGATGTACTTTACAATACATGAAAATGTAAACACAATTTTTGGTAGGTATCACAACCTCTAACTTCCATTCACAGACCCATTATCTTCCATATAAACCATTACAAAATAACAAAACAAAAAAATGTAATGTTAAATGACGGAATTGTATATTCGAGATAAATTGGGTTTCAGGACTAGATTCATTATTCTAGAAAATTACCAATTATATATTTACTCATTTTTATTAATATTGATACATTTTTAAGTTCATCTATTTTCTAAAATATATGCATTATTTTTGATAGAGATATATTTCATTGAAAAAAAAGTTTAATTATCATCAATGCAATTCCAAATATAAATTAATTTACATTAGTTTCATTTAAACAAACTTAAATATTTCAGTTAATATTTTTTAAAAAGATTCCATTTACTTCTATGTTTAACATTTCAAATTTTGTTATTTTTAAAAACCTTAAGCGACTATCAATTAAAAATCTCTTTCCCCATCTATATTTGTATATATACAAATCCTAGTTGCTGTTAATGTTCAGCTTTGTTTGTTTGTTTTTTTTTTTTTAATTTCTTTATTAGTCTGGATTTTTTTTCCTTTTATTTAATTTATTAATGCAATAAAGACTTAATATGGTGTTGTAGCGGAGATAGCAGTCATCGGCTTCATGACGAGCTTGGACAGGTCCATTCTCTCCCGCCCTCCTTACCTCCTCTCTCACTGTGTGTATCTTAGTTTCAGGTTTCCTAAATGGTTCTGACCATCTGAGTCTAACTAACATATGTATTCTTGTGTTGCAGATAGCTGAGCTAAGCCACAGTGTGTCGAGCCCAATGTCTTTCAGAGTGGAGTATCGACGGGGTGCCACAGGAGCAGCTATGTTTCAGAGGCAAGTCAGGTTCCAGGTTGATATATCTTCAGTCTCAAAGCCTAATTCTCCTAAGGAATACCTCTATGCAGTTACATTCACTCTTTTATCTGGTACGAATTAATTTATTTATTCAGTTTGTTCTTTGATATTCATTGTAAATATTGTAGAGTTTCCTCTACCATTCCTCACTCACAAGACTCTTTGTCTTACTGGTCAATTCCTAATAATATAAATAATCTCGAAAATAAAATTATATTGCTTTCATTTATTCTGTACTCTTTAGTTATTCATTCCTCTATTATATCAGCCTGTTTGTAAAGTTCTGGTGTTTAATTTATACAATTCATTCTATGCCAAAAAAATCATAAATTAGTTTTATCATTTATTTAATTATCATATTGATAATTTTTTACTTTCACTTACCTATATATATAATTTTTTTTTTTTTTTGTTTTTTTGTCTTCCCCTTCCTCGTCTTTTAGGCTACATACGTTTTCCTGGGCCATGAGGTGAGGGCGGTGGATCAGTGCCAGAGCTAAAAGCTCCCCTTGGCACTGGGGATGCGAGCTCATGATTATTGTTATCAATTTTCTCATATATCAGGTTGCCAGGCTATGGCGGTGCTGTGCACACATGTTAATCCACTCGGCCACCCTATCCCTCACTTACCTGTATACGTGTAACATATAGTAAGGGACAGTATATCAATCATGAAAAATGAAAAAAGTCCAAATAATCAAGTCCCACAAAATGGTCTGTGTGTATGTGAACATTCTAATGCCAATGCCAATCATTGAGAAATTTTTAAAAATATTTGTTTAAAATTTCTATCTAGTATTAACACAAGGTTTATTAGTTGGAACTTTCGCAGATTTATTCAAAACTTTATTTAAACCATACACACATTATTATTCATTCAATTATTTTAAGAATCTCAAATAAATTAATAAATAAAACTGTGATTTTATATTTAAAACTCTAAAAATAAAATTGATTTCAGAAAATTTTCGAAGTTTACAAATTTATGTAGTTTCCCTAAAGTTTGCAACTTCTTGCTAAATAAGAAATAAAAGAGTTCAACACATCAAATGACTTGAGCATATAATTATAATTAGATGGTTGATGGGGAATTAGCCAAAACATTTTACCTAGGAACTATAAATAAAGTCAGACCATGCTGATGACCAAAAGATAGATAGAAGGATCCAATTTCTGTGGCCATTTAAAGGTTTTTTCCTCATCTTCGTTCCATAAATCCAAATTATTAGTTGGGAGAGAAAGCCGTTTATTTATCATTGAATATTTAAAAAAAAAAATAAAATTATTAACCAATAATGATATAGTTAATTGTATTTGTATTTATTTTTTTATTTATCTTTCAGGAAACATCAGAAGGTTTAGAAGGGTATGTGAACATATTCAGTCCCAAATTTGTTCAAGAAGACCCCCTTCTTCACCAAGGGCTACACGGAAATTTGCAACAGATCTGTCTGAAAGTAGCAGTTGCGGAAGTGATACTTCAGACCGTCTCTCACCATACCCAACCAATAGGGTACTTTTTTATTTCCATAAATTTTCTTCACTATTTATTGTTAATGAATAATCAATTTTTAGAAAATTTGATAATTTTTGAGTGATTTGCCTAACTCTTGTCATTTAATTTTTTTTTAAACTTGAATAATAATAACCTTAAATTTTATAGCTTACATCCAAAATTAAGTTTTGATACAGAGGTTTTGAATAATAAAATATTTTATCATATTCTGCCATTGGATATTTAAACATTTTTTCCCACCGATTTAAAATGCCAATTAACAAATAATTAATTTTTAAAATGTTTAAATGGAATGTTTAGAACTACCAAATTTATTCTATAAATCAGTCAATAATATTGATAAAAATTTAATTATTCTTGTGTTTTTTGCATTTAACTTTCTTATTAAAACTAATAGAATAAAACATTTTATAATATATCTTTATATCATTTTATACACATATATGTACATATATTTAATTTTCCAAATTATATTTTCCTATATGAGTTTTATAACTTGTTATCTATGTTGTAGGGAGAGTCTGACATCGAGTCAGAAACTTGTTTATTTGAGATGAAAAGTATGGGAAGAGAAAATGGCAGAAGGAGAAGTAGTTCAGTAGTAACAAACAACAATAATAATAACAACAATGGAGCTGAAGAAAAGTCTAGTCCAGATGTCGTTCCTCCCCTTCCAATCAGATCAACGTCTGAAAGATCGTCCGTAACACAGCAACTCCCTTGAGAAAAGGTGTTGATGCTTTATTCCAGATGTATATATCATTTCATTAACCCAGCTGCATCATCCCTCTAAATGTATGACTTTTTACTAAAATCAAATGTTAACACTGGATTACTACACATAATAGTAATTGCACAGGGTTTCAGGTGTACCCCAAGAAAACAATTATTTTACTTTCTTACAAAAGTTTTTATTGAAAATTTTAATTTTTGCTTGTTATTATTTTTGGACCCATCCAACAATATTAGAGGATTCATGCCATTAATGTCCAATAGATTATAAAATAGTCTAAGTGGTGTATGTATAAGATAGTTGGTCCAAAGTGTCCTACCTTTGGTTATATGACATATTGCTATAATTTCTGGAAGCATAACCAGTAGATTTATCTCAGTCAGCATTTATATATGTAAAAAATTTAAGTTAAATAAAAAAGTTATTTGCACACAAACTACACAGGAGTACAAGGGTGCCCTAAACTGAGTCTCTTTAATAAACACAGAGCAATTAGCTATAACACACTGACAGTCATGTACGACCGTAGGGGACTGGGAACTACAAAAATCCATACCCTCCTGGAACACCGTCTGTAAATTATGTGGAAATAATTTGTACCATGGAGAGCACTTGTACCCCTGTGTAGCTGTTCAGGATTAACTGAAAGTTATTTTGGGTGGAATATTTCACATCTGGTAATTAGCAGCAGTCTTTGTTTGCTGATTATTCCATCTAATGGTGCAAACAGATTGAATTCTGGATTTAGATTACTATTGCATAGTATTACTAGCTTCTTGGTTCAGTTGGCTATGGTCTATTGAAAATCTTAGTTTATCCCCTACACACCCTTACAGTTCAAAACTCAAAGTATTATAAAAAATTTAAAATTCTGCTATTTGATTTTTTTAATCTGTTAATTCATCTTTTTCTATAAGTTGAATAAATAAAAATTTATTTTCAACTCAAAAATTTCAAAAAATTTTGTTCGATAAATAAATATTTTATGATTCACTGAATTTCCCAATAAAAATTCTAATGTATTGAAAACTGACATATTTTCAATGTTTGGAAGTTCAATATTTTAAGGTTCTACTTTTCCTTTTTGTGCCATTTTAAAAACATTATTTCTGAACTTGATAATAATAATTGATAAATTAATGTATAAATACTCTTTGTAGCATTGTCACAAAAACGGGATTCCTTACATAGTTAAGGTTAATAAATTATATTAATTTACCTAATACTCTCTGTTTGTATTTAATAGAATTTTAGTTTTGCTCATTTTAATTTTTTTTTCTTTTATGTTAACAGGTAAACTTATTAGGATTTTTGACAAAAAGGCATTCTAATGCAGAATCTAAGAGCTACCAGCTTCAGAGGATAACAGGAACTGTTTAATTGTTACAAATCATATAATAATGTATATTTATTGATATATATCAAAAAAGAAATATGAATGTATTTTATGCACACATTATTTTTATTTAAAACATCAATAAACATAGAACTTTATGTTGCATCTCCAAATTAACAGTGCCATAATTTAGGTTACCTTTTGAAATAAATAGTTAGAACGTTGATATTTGTTTATGCTCATTAATTCTCGAAGGTAGTTAATGTTTATATTAATAAATAAATTGTAAAAATAGGATTAAGACATTCAATAAGGATTATATAGTAACTTAATTTATAAGTAGTGTATTTTAGACTCGCAGATTTTTTCACTTGGTCCATTAGTTGTGAATCTATCTGTTACAAAAGAAGAGTGTAAAACAATATGTCAGGATGTATCCTAGGATGGAGAAGAATACTTTTAACAAATAAAAGAAATTTTAATTACATGAATGATATGTAATTAATTATATCGTCCATGGTAAATTACTATTTATTAAATATATGGAATTAAATAAGATCCTTGTTGTGGTTCGATGGCATTTTGATACTTGGTTTTTAAAAAAAAATAATAAAAAAATGTTAGTAGGGACTCAAAGATGATGGAAAGACAATGTGATTCTAACGGAAATTACAGATCATTGTGCGTGAAGTGATATTGTGTATATATAAGTTTAAATTAAAAACAAGCCTGCTCTCTGATTTGCTACGTACGACTTTCTGATATATTTTATTATCAACACTAATTAGTACACCAATAATAAAGCATATCGATAAGTTCAATATTATTATTGATTATGTGTGATAATAACAATTGTATGTAAGATTTTTTTTTTTTAATGATTCCTGTATACACTGTATGTAAATTTTGGAAGATAGCTCTAATTGCATAGAATTGTACTGGCTTGTGCCCCCTACATTGTAATGGGGAAGAATTGTAATTTATTAAATTGTAATTGAAAAATCATGAAATTTAATATGTAAAAAAAATACATAAATATATATATATATTGCAACAATATTTAACTTAAAATTGTCAGTATATTTTTTATTAAATTAGCTCTTTTAATTAATGCAAAGTTATTTTAAATTAGTTGAGAACATTTTAAAATCTGTAAGATGTATAATATTTTAATGTCAATGTTATGATTGTTGGATGGTTGTTTGAGAATCAATGATAGTCCATAATTACTTTGTCCCTTTCCTCCACATTGACATTTTAAATAAAAATTAATTTATTCAGCATACTCATAATTATTATTAGATAAAATCACTCTAAAGAGTTTTTTAATATGAAGGAAAAAGTGTGACCAATATTTTTTTCTGATTTCCCATCAACTAATGACTCATGTATGCATATATTGTATAATAAATAACAAACATTATATGAAAAAATATTGTTATTTTTCTTTTTGTAAAAATTTGAATATGGTGAGGTATTTTAAGTAATTTTTTGCTCGATGGTTTCAATAAGTTGTCGTAGAAATAGTTTTGATAAGAAGAATCCTTAATCCTTCAAGTAATTCTGGTAAGGTTGAACATCTGTTTATTCATTCTGACATCTTATGTCTCTGAGGTTGACTAAGGTTTGGCTGTGGACAAGATAGACACTCTCAGCTGACTAAATGTTATACTGGTGACCAATTTTTTACTTCTCAGTATTTGTCTAACCAAAGAAATAAATTTTTAAATTGAAGAAAGCTCTAAAACAGTTGACCGTGTTTTCTATGAGTATTTTTACCTGTCTTTATTTAATTATTTACTGATTCATGTGATTTTTTGGATATTGTTGATTCTCAACAAAAGGTATTTTGTACAAACATTGTTAATTTTTTTTTAAATTGTAATATATTTATTAGTCTCTTTGTTTTATAAGCCTCAGGGTAAATACATAAATTGATTTTTTTAAACAAAAGATCGTCTGGAGCAAACGGAACTGTATTTCCAGTCGAAAATTGTTTGTATCAGTTGCTATGGTCCCATGTTGTTTCAGTTGATACTCAATTTTTAATTATTTTAATGTTCATTAATTGTAAATAAATTACTTAGAATATTTATTGCCAAATGACACAGTAATGAACTCAATACTATTTAACTCAAATAATATTAATATTATCAATTCTAAGTTTTCCAGTAAAATCTAATGTTTTTATTAATAACATTATGTTTTGGCCTAGTTGTCCATTTAAAGAAATAATAATTGCTAAATTTATTGAAAAGTCATTCTTCACCTGCTGATTCTCCAAAGTTTGTCAAAATTACTGTGCCACTTTTGTTAAATGTTATTTTCACGAAGTTTGTACATATATATACATACATATATTTTATAATTTTAATTCATAGTTTTGACTAGTTAAAAAATGTAAATTATTTGATTAAAACAGTGCAATAGTTACTGTAGGCTAGTAATTATTGAAGAGTTGTGGTTAATTTTTAAAATATTGATATGTTTATATTTAAATCAAATTTTGTATTTTATTTTACTTCAGTATCCATATTACTGACAATGTACTGTGAAAAACGCTTAGTGTTGTTATGAATATGAATTTTGCTTGTTTGTTTTTTTATTGGCCCCATAACATTTTATGGAAGTTGGCATTATTAATTAAACGCCTATCAGGATTATAACTTTTCTTTTTATTTCCCCTTAACTTTATTCAATGTTGACGTTAGCTTTGGACTAATTATAATATTATATACAAAAAACATCTATTGTTGATAAACAATTTTGTTTATAATGACATATTAAAATAGATAGATCTGTAATGAGGTCTCTGATCATGATCAATGGTACACTATGGTCTTATCAAAGAGGAGGAGAGGGGTAGGACGGTAAAGGACTCAGGAATCTGATTGATTGCAGGTAATTATTTATTCTGTTATCAGCTATGGATCGACCTGAGGGGCAGGAGACCCTCACAACCTCTCTAAAATGGGCATTTTTAATTAATTGATCAAGATGAAAATCCTGGCAGTTGAGCATGATCTTGGTCAAATCACCTCCTTGCACAACTGTTGACCAAGAAACAGTTCTTCCTTACATAATTCTGAACCCAAGATCCTCCTTGGGTTGTGGTGGTACAGATTTCATGTCCAAACAAAAATTGATAAGTATGTTCTGTATAAAGCAACCTTATGTTGTAGGGCAGCACTACTTTGAATAAAGTATTTCTTTCCATATACAGAGGATCCTGTAAGTAGAAGGAAATATATAAAAGGTTGATAGTAGACTTGAAGATCTACAATAGAGTTCATATAACAAATTGCCAAATTTCTAGCAGAAAAGAAAAATATTTAAGCTTTGTGTTTTTTAAGCAAGTCACATTTTTTTATTGAATAGAAAGTGATAACTTAAAATATATTTAATTTAAGTAACTAAACATTGCTCCATAGTAAACTAGAAAAAAATTGCTTTAAACGAAAGTAGAGTTTGTCATTGTTAAAACTGTTTAAAGAGGACTGTTGGGTGGACAAACAGAGCTAAGTTCTGTTTAACAAAAAATTATAAATTATTTGTGATTTTTTTTTATCACCCATTAACCGTACTAGATTTATCCCACTTTAGAAAAACTTCCTCATTTAATAAGCTTTTAGTTCATATTAATTTAATTAAGGTTTCTTAGGAAAAAATTTGAGATGCACCCCAAGTTGTGTAAAGAAATTATGTTATTTTTTATCCATCCATCGTGACGTATGGCTAAAAAATCATAAAAATAAAAATTGAAAATTAAAAATAATGATTTTCAAATATTTTTCATGCAAGGTGGTTATGAAACTGTTTTTTTCTTCCAGATCTCCATCATAGGAATTGATATATATTTATCAGTGACTAACTTAATGTTTCTTACCAAAATTTAGTTTAAAATAAAGAAACCTACTGATTGCTTCAATTATTTTCATGAAAACGTAAATATTAGGGCTGCAAACAATAATTTTGTCAGTTATTAATATATATATATCAGTTCCTATGATTGTAATCTGGGAGAAAAACACAGTTTCATAACCACCTTACATGAAAAATATTTGAAAATCATTATTTTTAAATTTAAAATTTTTTATTTTTATAAATAAAATGTTTTTTAGGCAATAATATTTATTACAATACAAAAAAGAAATAAAAGCTTTTCAACAGTTAATTTTAGTCATTTTTGATATAATATAAATAAAAAACAATGGGAGAAGAAGTAGAGTCTGTATAGAATCAGAATGGCAATGAAGAGAAGTTGAATAAACTAATATAATACTATGTTTATTCAATGTTAGTAATTAGGAAAATTATTGATGAAGTATGGTGTTGGAATGTACTTTGTATTTTTTGTTTCTTTATAGAATCTCATATTTACTTCTATTTCACATTAAATGTGCACATACATATACATGTAAATGTATTTATTATTCTTTTAAATAACAATTTTTTATATTATGGATACCCGATTAATTACGCAACAAAATTAAAATAAATAATGTCACACATTGTTTCTGTCAGTATGTATTTAGTCCACATTTTATTCATTAATTCTGAACAGGTTTATATTTAATATATTTTTTTTTTGTCATTAGCATAATTGATTTTACTCAACTATTTATAATAAATTATTTTTAAAAAATCTTTTTTTTACAAATACGTTTTTGAAGTTGCACAACTGAGGTATCAGAATGTTTGAAAGTAGAAATTATAAATGATGTCAGACCAAGAAGAAGCAATTTCACAGTATTGTTTCAAGTTTTTCCCAAGTTCTGTTCAAGAGCTTATAATTTGCATTTGGAAACGTCTAAGAAACTGTGTTATAAAAATGTCAAAAATAATTCATCTCCACCTTGTTCAGTCCTTGAATTAGCGGGCAAAGTTACTTGAACTTGAATGAATAATGTATGGAATCGTAAGGATAAATAGGTTTGGACCTAAAAGGTGATTCTTATTTCAAGGCAGTTGCCTGAGTGATAAGATTGTTAATTTTTGTAAAGTTTATTAAATATGATTTTTATGAAACATGAATTAGATGAAGAATTTTTCTATGGTTTCAGAGAAACCAGAAAATGGTATAAAACCTTTGCTGGAAGCAGTATGTCAAAAAAAATGAAACCTTCTATATTTCTGGATATCTATCGTATTTTCGCTTTTTTATTCCTTGTAATGATGACCTTTATGTTTCTATTTACAGCATTACTGACTACTAATTATTTGGCAGAGTTTTCAGAAGCATTTCACTATTGTTGCATACTGCTTACCATGGCCATTTATATCCCTGTCGAGAGGCTGGCTAAGGATGATATAGATAAAACATTTTACAAACTCAAGAAATGCTTTTATCTTTATAATGGTGAATTGAATGATTCACAAAAAGATATCAAACGAAAAATTATGAAAGATATAAAATTTACTGATAAAGTTTTTTTTTGGATGCTTATATTTGTTTGTATTCTATATTCAATACTGACCCCACTAAAAGACTATTTCTATCCCCATCTCAGGCTTGAAAGACCAGATATTATTGATAGGAAATTACCTATTCCATTTTATGTCCCTTTTGAAGACAATTATGGCATCACCTTCATCATTGTGTTCTTGATGGAATGTTGTTGCAATATGATGGTTCACTCCCTGATCACATCAATCCATGAAGCATATATTAGCTTGACTGGGCAGATCTATGGTGAAATGAAATTGCTTAACTATTCCTTAAGGCATATTGAAGAGAGAGCGATAAGACTTTACCTGAGCAAAGAATTGAAAAAAATTCAGAACATAAGATACATTTACAGCTTACCTGCTTTTCAACAATGCTTCAAGGAATGTCTTAAGGAAGATTTGATTCATCATAAAATATTGCAAAAGTAAGACATTTTGTTGATCTATTATCTCACAGGAATTAATTAAAGGACTTTGTCATAAATAATACATCACATGAAATGTCAATAAACTTTGTAGTTGATGGTAAAATATGAATATTATAATTCATTTTTTTGCGGTTGGCGTTACAGACCTTGTAGATCTTTGACCACAAGATGTAGTCTTCTAGACCACATCCCGATTCCTGATTTATGTACACGGAGGTAGGTTATCAGTCCTATTCCTGGTCGGTGTGAGTAACATCCAGTAGGCTGATGGGTCTCACAAACCTGAGGGGGAGGGGTCTCCGGCAGCGTGGCTTTCTCTGGTGGACGGTCAACCATCCAAGAGTTAACCACGCTCGGCGTTGCTTAACTTGGTTACCTATTGCTAGCGCCTTAGCCCGCACAGCTACCCCAGTCCCTATTATAAAAATATATTAATGAGTAAATGCTTTAGATTCATAATTAAAATTTTCATAAATATAGGAAAGATTAATAATTGGTCATTTATTTGGAGACCATCTATCTATCTCCCTGAGCAGGTCTTGGCCTCCTCGATAAGCATCCATCATTCAGCTTTTTTTTGTACTGCTGCCATCCAGTTGATATACCATAGCCTCTGGCTTCTTGCATCCGCTGTCACTCCGTCAGCCCATCTGAACTTTTGTCTTCCAGCTCTTTTATATAAGTTATTTTAGACTGACCACCAAAAAAAAAAATCTTCATGATTTAAAAGTTGAATTTATTCAATACCCAACGATTATCTCAAGCAATGTTGTACAGACAGCTAAAAGAAATTTTGACTGCAGGAGTTTATATAATAAGCATTTAAAACTTATTCATTGAAAATATTTTATAAAACACAAGTTGTCCTGAAAAATTGACATTTTATGATATATATACAATTATATAATTAACATGTCCTAAATGCTTTATTGTATACTTTTTATATGCAATTAACATATATGTATTATTAATTCATAGTTGCATAAAACTGGTGAGGCCTTTCACTGGACGTATAATAATAAGTGTATTCACATTATGTTCTATTGTTTGGGCGGTAGGTGTTTACGTTATTTCAAAGGTAAATTATGTTATTTCACAAAACAGAAAATTTAAATAAATAGTAATGATGTAGAGTTGGTTGACCGTTGATATGATATGAGAAGGAATTAGTCGAGGGTGCGGTCAAAAAATAAAAAAAAATTAAAATATATAAATAATTTTAATTTTTGCCGACGTTTCGACCCACTTTGCAGGTCGTCTTCAGGGCGTTGGATGTGGCACTGCGGGAGGCGGTTGAAACACTGTGTTTCAACCGCCTCCCGCAGTGCCACATCCAACGCCCTGAAGACGACCTGCAAAGTGGGTCGAAACGTCGGCAAAAATTAAAATTATTTATATATTTTAATTTTTTTTTTTTTTTTTTGACCGCACCCTCGACTAATTCCTTCTCATAAATAAATAGTACTTTAGTAACTGTTATTATGATAGTATTGATTGTGACTTAATCTTAAAGATTACTTATTGTATTTGTAGATGATAGAAAAGGGTACTGCAATGGATAAAGTACTAGAATTTCTACTTATGCTCTTTACAGAAGGTGTTTATGTTTTTAACATGTGTCTTTTCAATGAAAAAATCAAGTCTGAGGTATGAAAAACCTTTACATTCTCTCTAGAAAATAAATAAGTATGTTTTTTTACTATTTGCACCTAAAATGGTATAGATAGTGGTATCCAGTAAATTGCTAAATCAGCCTCAGATTTCATCAAAAGGTTCGTAAAACTGCAGTTGTAACTTCCACATTTTTTACAATTATACGAAGGTACAAATTTATTCTCAAACCCTTACGTATTTTTTTAATAGTTATTGTGCAATTTCTTACCGATCTCTTATTCATATTTCCTTAATTTGTAACTTTTTCCTATTTTAAGAAACATTTGTTCTGAGCATTTGTAGATAAAATCAATAACTTTTAATAATTATGCCAAAATTTATTCCAAAAGTGCACAAAATAAATCTTCAATCATGAAAAGTCCTATTAACAGTACTTTGCATTAAGTTGATCAAGATAAGTCATGGATTTGAATAATAATTTTTAGCTTGTACTTGAGAGAAGTGACTGTGTGATTGATAGATACTAATAAATCTAGGCCATTTACAGTTCCAATTACTTTCTGTTAGTTTTGGAAGACAGGTGTAAAAGCAATTATTAGCAAAAATAAGCACATTACTCATCACCCCAATATATTCTTTGTAACCTAACTAAAGCTCCAAGATATCTCAATATCCATTCACTGGTACACTGAAAATCAAGTTCTAGATTAGGATTTGAATGAAGATTAATTGTGAAAATCGAGACGAAGAATACAAAAAATTATTATAAAGGGTTACTATATTGTATTTAAAAGTATGGAGTATCAACGTCTAAGTGAAACCAAGCTTAAGGAGAGTATATTTGTTTGATCACAAATTAAACATATGATCAATAAATACAAAATGATCTGGAAATATCAGATGAGTATGGAGAAAGATTTCATCTAGGTATTTCATTGATTAGGAAAAGGTTTTCTGAAAAATGAAACCCAAACCATGATAGCTGAAAACCACCAATGGATCTTACATAATGAAGATCAAATGTAAATATTCAGAAAATTAATTTAAAATGTATATAAAGTAGTTAAGTTTATCTTTATTAAAATTTGAGATATATTTCTAATTGTTCAGAAGAAGAGATTTCTAATGAATGGGATTTTTATTGATTTTTTTTTTAATACCACAATATTTCTACCTCCCTTGTCAAAGGAGCCTGATATAGATATTTTGAGGCCAGAGCATTCATATTCAGCATACCAAAATACATAAGCTGAAAACAGACAAAAGTATTCCAGAGAAGACAATTTTTTTTTTTTTTAAATGTTCAACAGAGTAATTAGACATTGACCCTTGGCCTATATGTGTTATGAAAAAACTACTGAGTCAGTACATCATATGTCAATACTACAGACAACTACTACATATACTATTCTTCTGATATATAATAAAACTGACTTAGTACCTGCAGGCATTCATCCATACCAATTTTCGTACATTATGATTTCTATCTAATTCTTTTGAAGCTAAAAAGTCATTAATGCATTAAACACAAGCAAAGGAATTATAATTTTATTTCAAATTTATACACTAAGAAAATTAAAAAAATAAAATAATATATATATTATTTTTTTAAATACTGCTAGCTTTTGGTATGTTTTGATTTCTATTCCCATTTATAATCATAATCTGTTCCACATGATCTTTGTTACATACTGTAAAAGACTGTAGGTCTGTTCATCATTAATAGACCAGAAAACAGAGTGGATAATAAAGGGAAGCCTCTCACTTACCATTCTCTTTAGTGTGAATCAAACACTTAATTCATTTTTCTTTTTAACTTTTCAAAAAAGTAACACCTACATTGTTATGTAAAGATGTACACTTAGAAAATATGTATTTCATAATAATGAGCGCGGGCTCATTACCAGGTATGGAGAGAGCCCCATGGGTGGTGGATGTGGGGCTGGTAGGTGGGAATTCCTTGGAAGTAACTCCTGGCTAAGTCCAATGGACTCGCTGGCCAACAATGAGAAGGCCCCTTGCAGACTTGCTAGAGGGTGTGACGTAGGATTGAATGTATTACTTACATATCTTTAGTTCACCAAACACCACAAATAGTCATGGATCTCTAAAAGTTAATACGCTCATTGGAATGAGGGTCGGATCATGAATTAGTAATGGCGAATATTCTTTAAAAAGTTAATATAAAAAATTATTTCGATATTAAAATTTATAATAATAATAATAATAATAATAATAAGGCTTAGCGAACCCGAAGGTTCGATGCCGACACCACCAATCGCTTGTTACACACCTCCCTCCACCGTTCGCCGTCCAAACCCAGTCCCTTCAGATCGGCTTTAATGCAATCTTCCCATCTTCGCTTCGGTCTACCCCTCGGACGCTTACCATTCGGCACAGCAAATATTAACCTTAAAATTAACCTTATTAACCTTAAAATATTAACCTTAAAACCATTAAAATTTATAATTTGAAAAATTAAAATAAAATCCATTAATTAGAACTCAATTCGAGCTAGATGTTAAAAATAAGTTTGAAGCTTTAGAACCTTCTGACGAGGACAGCGATGACAAGTTATGGGTAGAGCCCAGGGATAGCATTAAAGCGGTCGGTAACTCGTGACTTTGGAATAATTATTTAGCCGAAAAGTTTGAGGTCTGCTCGGGTTTAAAACAAGGTGATTCCCTTTCACCCGTCCTGTTTAATTTGGCATTAGAACATGCCATTAGGGAGATAATGCGTACCGAAAAAGGGTTGAATCTGGGTGGGACAGCATCCGTACTCGGATATGCGGATGATCCTGTTAAGCGAAGACTCGGAAACTATAAGACTGCATACGACAACCTTAATGAAAGCCGGGTAAGAACTAGGGCTCGAAATAAACTCGTATAAGACAAAATATATGGTTAGATGCAAAAATGGGAATAGTTTCGGTTATATTGAAATAGAAGATAATATATTTGAACACGAAGAGAAGTTTAGGAACTTAGGGTCTACGATAACTAGACACAACAAAATTGAAGATGAGATGAAGGTTAGGCTGAAGACGGGAAATGCTAGTTATTTTTCTGTTACAAAATTATTTAGCTCGCACCTGTTGTCTCGGAACTTAAAAATTATAATCTATAAAATAATTATCCAAACTATAGTTCTTTATAGATGCGAAACCTGGCCGCTTACATCAAGGGATGAGCAACATCTTAAGGTTTTTGAAAATAAATTTTTGTAAAGAATATTCGGACCGAAGAAGGGCGGGTTAACCGAAGAATTTAGGCGGTTACACGACGCTGAATTGCGCGAACTGTACCTGGTTAATATAATTGAGATGATTAAGTTGAGGCGAATAAAATGAGCATATAAAACCTCTGGACTTAGTAACGAAAGAATTCCTAAAAAGTTAATAAGCGCCGTGCCGACTGGCAAGCGTCCGAGGGTCAGACTAAAGCGAAGGTGGGAAGATTGCGTTAAGCCCGATCTGAAGGGACTGGGTTTTGACGGCGACTGGTGGAGGAAAGTGTGTAATAAGTGATTGGAGGTAATAAGTGTCCCCATCGAACATTCGGATTCGCTAAGCCTCCTAACACCTAATATGAACAGTTTCTAAATTCTGTGGTACTTAGAAAGTGTTGAGTGTTAGAAAATTTGCATAAGAAAAGAATGATTACATTTTTGGATATAATCACAGGCGGATTTATAGGAGGGGGGCTTTTAGGCTGAAGACCTCCTCCCCCAAAACTGTAAAATATAACCTTGTTTTATAGAAAAAAATATTAAAAACTATCTCTTAAAGTATTCTTGTTCGTGTAATTACATTTAATAGGACTTCAAGAATCACTTAAACACCATTTCATATAGGTAGTTCATTTCTTTCTTTTTTTTTTCAAATTAATTATCGTTATATATATATATATATATATATATATATATATATGAAAAAAATGTTTCGGGCTGAAGCCCCCTCCTCCAAAATTAAATCCTGGATCCGCTAGTGGATATAATGAGGCTTAACAAAATGAAAAAAAAAAAGCCATTTTTAATTAATTCATATAATCAAAATAACTTAGATTATAAGAATATTTGTCGAGGCCTAGAAACTGCAACCTGGTCAACATTATCCTCAATAAACATCAATAATAGAATGAAAAAGGTATAATCTATTTAAACATTTTTTTTTTGTCAACTGTAAATTATAACATGTTTTTTTATACATATTTTAGAATGATGAGTTATTTATGCAGATATATTCCATACCTTGGTATAATTGTGACAAGAAATTTGGTCAAAATGTTCATATAATGCTGATGAACACAATAAAACCAACACAATTAAATAAAAATTTATTTAATGTCTCAGCCTCATTTGAGACATTGATGCCTGTAAGTAATTATATAATTTTGAATTAAATTTATATTGTTTTGATTCATATAAATAAGCGTTTTATTTTTCATTTCAGATTATTAGTGCAACATTTTCCTACTTCAATGTTCTAAGAAAATTGAAAAATTAACGTAAAAACCACATTGAAATAAATATAGTAAAATAAAACTTCAATTTAAAAGCATTATTTATTTTATAATATAAATAATAAAGGAAATTATCTAGATGTTGGTAATGAATAATTTATAAAATGTCAATGAAAAAAATAAATACATATATATATATATATATATATATATATATATATATATATATATATATATATATATAATATATATATATATATATATAGACCGCGCAGCGCTTTCCACAATAAATGCTGCGTGTTGCTATTGATGACTGACCACGGAGATTAAATGCATGTGTCAAGGTAAAAGGGGGACATTTTGTGTAATTTCTTTTTTGTTTTACTCTCTATAGATATACATTTTATTTTCTAATAAAGTTTTTGAAAAAATCTATTTTTCTGTTAAAATCTGTGTATATTTCCTTATAACAATATTTTTGACAGGACTTGGCATATACTACGTATATAGGTAAGTCAAGGTAAAAAATTAGAATTTAAATACAATTTTTAAGCTCAGTTTTGCCAAACAAAAATTGCTTTTCGAAGTAGAGCAGTAAGTGAAAGTTGTGTGTTGCGCGCACCAGATTTTTACTTTCACTCAATTATTTATGTAATATATAGTAGGGGAAAGTATTGTGATCGTGAAAATTTTCGAATCTCAATTTTCAAAGAAAATATATGTTTTGAGGTCCCCTGAGCCGAAATAACCAACTCGCGCAAAATGCCATGTGTGTGAGAGAGAATGTGTGTTCGTAACTCTTAATTATATTTAACACCGTTGCTCAAAAACAAAAAGTCGTGAGAAACTGATATTACGTATTCAGGGTTTGTATACGCCTAGTATGTTACAGCAACTTTTCGTTAAAATTGGCTAGCTGGGAGTGACATTTTATATAATAGATAGAATACATTTTTACGATTTTCTGGAAAACAACTCTAACGATTTTAATTAAACTCCGTATATCATCAGTGTATTATTAAGTTGTTTTTAATATAAGCTAGGTCTTGTTTAAATTGATGTCACTTTACAGGGCTTAAGTGTCCAATATTCATATACGTCTTCCTCTAAAGTACCTTCAATTTGGTTTATTTTAAAAATGAACTCTCCCTTGTTGACATTAATTATAAAAAATCGCTAATAATAAAATACCAAAGATTTTTTAACTACATTTACTCTAGTTTAATAACTGCAGATCTGATATTATACTTAAATAATTAGGTATATATCGGCCGTTTATTCCGAAAAATCACCAAGTTAACTTTTAGAAAATTAAATTAGTGAATAATTTGATGAATTTTCCCTTTGAGAAATCCCAACATTACCCACTTACAATTAGTGTCACAACTTTTGTCCTATCTATTGCAGGCAATGAAAATCACGTAATTTTATTTTAGTAAACTTTACAATGGAAAATAACAGTTTAATAACTAATAGTCATACAATCCATAATCAACTGATCGTACAATCCATAATCAACCGGTAATATAACAAATAGGATTATTGTTATTTTAATGGTATTTATGATTTGTTAGCTGTAAGATTTAAGCTTTAGCTCGGTTAAAAATGCAATTCCAAAATTTTATAATAGCCTTGCATGCCCAGAAAATAATTTCTATTTAAAGTTGAGCGATAAGTGAAAGTTTAGTGTTGCGTGCACCAGATTTTTGTAGGCTACAATCAATATTATAAATATGGTTTATGTTATTATGACGGTTTTAATGAGTTTTTGTATTGATAAATATAAGCCCTATTCAAAAGTATGTTGTTAAAAGTTCAGCTACATTAAAACTGAGCTTCAAAAACTTCTTGTAATAACCCAATTTTGCCAGTCAAGAATTTCTTTTCGAAGTACAGCGGGAAGTGAAAGTTGTTTGATGCGCGCATCAGATTTTTTTTTTCTGTTGGAAAAAAATAACAACAAAATTTAAGGTGCGCCGGTTTTTGTGACCACCAGTGTATTATGTAGAGATGGTTGGTGTCCAGTGATTCAAGGCGATAATGGTCTTGTTCTATAAACAATAATAAAAGAAAAGGGAGTTGGTCGGTGATCACATAGTAAATCAAGAAGAGATGATCTGGGTTGTGCTTAAGAGTAACATATAAAATAGTTGAAATTATTTATTAACTAAGTGATATATAATAAATAGTTCCTACATAACAGTTTGCTAATAGCTTTTATTTCAAATTTACAATAAAACATTTTGACTTTATTACTACTCTATATTCATAAGAGCAGCTTTATACCAAAGACGGACGAATGTCATTTTCAGAAAGTGGAAGAAAACTCAATTTTTGTTTTATTGGTTCAACTCAAACTGTTTCTGATGATTTTATTTAAGAATGTTCAAGTTGAATGATGAAAATCAATCATTAGATTTGATTCAAATTGAAGCTGCGTTACAAAAATTAACTAAATTCATTTATTTATTTTTAGGGCTTTCCCACTACTGTGATTGTGCCTGACCTAAATATTTTTTTATAATATTTTTCCATTCTTCTCTACTCAAGGCTTGTTCTTCTATGATGCCATGACCTTCCAGGCTTTCTTCCACCGTGTCTTTTCATTTTACTCTTGGTCTTCCCTTTTTCCTTCTCCCTTCTACTTCCAGCTCCACACACATCTTTGGCAATCTCCAACTATAAACATTCATAGATTCAGTTGGGCACAAATAACAAGAAATTTTAGATCTATGATTGATTTCGTCATAATGAGACAAACTAGCTCCATCAAATTCCACAACGTTCGGGTGTATAGAGGAGCTAAATATGCCTCACATCATTTGTTTGTCAGAGAAAAAACTGAGTGGCTAGGGAGAAAAAACCATCATAAACAAAGCAGGAAGAAAAATTATTAGTACAGAAAATATATAAAATTGCGAAGCCATTAAAATTCTAGGTGAAGAAAATTTCCAAAAGAAAAATACCAACTATTAGATAAATGAGGAGATAAAACTCCTGATAAACGAGAAGAAAAAAGACGTATTTCCAATGGCTATATAAAAACTACAGTGTATATTGAACAAAGTATACCTACCTGAAGAGAATCCCTTAACTGCGAAATACGAAAAGCAAAAAATGATGAATGGGAAATGATGTGTGCGAATATTAATGCACAATTGGAATATAGGAAATCCACAGAAGCATGGAATGTCCTAAAACACTAGGGGAACAGACAACCCATAAAACCAATATACAATTAATAGGTATTCGATAATGGCAGGAATACTTTGAAAAGCTGTTAAAGGGAGACCGAAAGGATTTTAAACAGGAAACAGTGCACCATAACAAAGACACAACATGGCAAATATCAACCGAAGATGTAAAACAAGCCTTAAAATTTGGTAAAAATGGAAAAGCTCCAGGATCTGGTGGAATACTTCCGGAACTCCTAAAATATGGTGGTGAAATTTTTCTGGGAAACGAAAGGAGGGGTAAGGAAGGAGGGGAGGTTTAGTGGGAGAGGGAGAGATCGCATTTCAAAACCAGAAGACTGAAATTGAAATTTAAAAAAATATTTAACCAACATTTACATCAAGTACATACCAAAATAGTAAATGAAGAGAATGAAATTTTCGAAGCTTAAAAATGATAAGCTAATTAAAGGATTATGCCTTATATAACCTGCCTTATAAGAGTTATCGAAGTAAACATTTATTTAGGTTACTTCTTTCAAGGATACATGGATATGGAAATGGCTAAAAATAATGAAATAAATAAATAAGTGATAAAATAAGATAACTAGAATAACCTAAGTCATTTATTGCGTTCGATCTTTTTCGTAGGCGCGTACGCCGCTTTTCTGCCGATTAAGTGCATTTTCTTAAGAAATATTTCAAATATATTAAAAATTAATCAATAATTTAGAAAGATAAATTTATTCTCTAGATGTTTTATTTCAAGACATTTTTCGTTGTTGAACAAATCGACTTTACTGATATTTTTATTGCCAAGGCCAATTCTTTTTTAATTGTTTTTATACTTTATTATACTCAAGCTTTAATTTAATTAGGACTCCAGCTTTAATAAATGACCAATTATGAGGAAATTAAGCCAACTGCTAAAAATCAGTCATCGAAAAACTAACTTGACTCAAAGTCGTCACTCAGCCATGTTTGGACTTATAGTTCAGTGCGGCCACTTTTTTTTGTTAGAACTTTGCATTTTTTTTTTTAATATATAGTTGCAAACAACACAACTATATGCAATTTATAGTGTCATGGAACGAAGATGAACGGAAGGGAGGTGTGGCCCACGGACTACTCTCTTCCACCAAATATTTCTCCTCCCTCCATTACCCCTCCTTCGTAATATTAAAATGAATAAATATTTACTTCGCTGACTCTTATCAGACAGGTTATTGAAGATAAAAGATAATTGCAAATGATCAAAAATGAAAAATCATTTAAACAGAAAATAAAATTGTCTAAAATTTGAAAATCTGTATCTCGTAACTTATTTGATTTACTGAGCCTGTTCGGGTGTTAAATTGTAGAATATGTAATCTAGTTTAAAAATGTATAGAATGTTTTTTTGTTGAAAATGTGCTCCTTCATGTTCAAAATGGGAAAAACCGAAAAAAGTGTGAAAATATAGCAGTTTTGGAGATATTCAAAAGTGATCCGTGGGGAGGGAGGGGGGGGGGACGCCAAGTTCGAAAACTTGTATTTTGAATCTCAGTCATAATCCATACAAGAAAACAAAACAAAACCTTCTATCTCCATTCAATGCAACTTAGGATGTACAAGATTACTGAGATAATTGTCAGACGGCTTGTTCCCTTCGGTCATCTTCACCTATGTGCTACAGTCTCATTTTAGCCTAATATTATCCTACCAATCAACAATTACCATAGTATGAGGACACGTAATGTATGTCAGCCTAATAATATATTAAAACATAACAGTGATTTTTAGAACATGGTAATATTTTCAGACGGAATTGAATTGTCTGAAAACAGTGGAAGTAAAAAAAGTGTGATGGAAAAAAAATTCCTTTATGGAAACGAGGAATATATACTCCACTGTTAAACGTGGAGTCAAGTTACTCATGGTTTTGAGTAGAACTGGTAAAGCTACTGCAGAGGAAAACTAGTCCGGCAAGTGT